TAGTTTATGTATAGAGCAAACATTGTCTTCCTATCTACGATATTTGTTCCAAACAGACTTCAAATTGATTTAAATATCACAATTACAACGGCAACTTCATGAAAGAATCATATAGAAGGGAAATTGATTGATACTTTAAAATGAAGCTTTTATTTTTTCATTTTTCTGGTAGATATGATGCTCATCTTGATTCTCCAGATTTCTATTTTATTAATGCAAAACAGATCTTTCGTTTACTATCCAATAATGTGACCAGAAATGCATATTTTAATTGATCATGTTTAAATCAAATTCTTGTATCTTTGTTTTTCGTGTACAGTACTATTTACTTGCAAAAACATTGATAGAAATAAACTTGAGGCCCAACTATGCATCACGGTGATGATTACTTTAGAAATGCAAATACATATTTAGATGATATATTATATGTCAACAATCAAGTTTTTTCTACACAAAAAAAAAATGAAATTTATCCACAAATCTATGATAAATGGGATAACTTTTACTTTCTTATTTTTTCCTTTCCTTTATTGTCATGTTCTGATAGCTTCCTCTTGTGCAGTATATATTCTCAGTGGTTTGTTATGTGCGTGTTTGCAGTTAAGTCTTGGTATTGAATGAACGTAAAATTTCCTGTACTAAAAAAACCATTTACAGCAGGGATATAGATATCTTAAATTGACCAAAACGTTTACTATATCGTATCACAAATTTACTGTTTAATTTCATGTACAGAAATTTAATAAAACATGGTATGTTACGGTAATATTGTTTATAAGCTATAACACATTCTTGAATTAACTGTTAACGGGGTTTACATAAATTTGTGATCGCCCAACCCTCCTATACTATGAAACAGTTTATTTTGGCATTGCCTAAGATTAAGTCCTTTTCAGTGTATATATTGATTGTAACAATGATGTAAGTATTATTTTATTAAGCATAACAACTGGTATACTAGTATTTTCTTATTTATTTTGTGTTTTTGTTATCTAGAATACCGTTGTTTTGGTTTTTATCAGAGTTTAGTGTTTCCATGTACCGGTTTTTATCAGAGTTTAGTGTTTCCATGTACCGGTTTTTATCAGAGTTTAGTGTTTCCATGTACCGGTTTTTATCAGAGTTTAGTGTTTCCATTTTATCAGAGTTTAGTGTTTCCATGCACCGGTTTTTATTGTATATTCTTTGTTATTCAAAGTCTGTTTGTCTGTAGATGTCTTTTTTGGTTATCTTTTTCGTTGTGTTGCTATCTTATTAACATTTATCCACACATGGTTGTTATGTTGTTGGGTGGCTTTCTCATTGACGAATACCCATCAAGGGCCTTAATTTAGAACATATTCTTATTCTTATACCCCAATATACCCCAAGGGTGACTGGGGAATAGAAATATGGTACCTTTCGTCTTTTTCCGAACGTCAGTAAAATCCTTGCCAAATAGGGATGTCCGTTTAGCTATTCAGGATGTATAAGTACGCAGTCACGTCCGGTCAGAATGGGGATGTTAAATCCGATGCTTCGTGTAGAGAAAGTGCCACGCTCTCTGTACGTTAAGAACCGTTCCAACAACTTTGTGGGTTTCGTCGGTGGTCTGTTGCAAGGCAAAATTTCTATCCCTATCCAATATACCCTCAGTTTTCAGTGGCCGTCCAAATTTCCCGACCCTAGACGATCCCTATTTCAAGACCTACCTATTGTATTTTTTGTTAATTTGTTCTCGTCCCGAACATGCATGGAACATTTACCACCGGACGTTATAATCAATCAATCAATCAATTTTATTCTTATTTTCTTATTCTTATTCTTATTCTTATTCTTATTCTTATTCTTATTCTTATTCTTATTCTTATTCTTATTCTTATTCTTATTCAATACAATATTGGGTCATTGTCAGAAATATATCAACTTATGGTATGACGCTTAGAAACTGTGGAAAGTCGATGTTAACAGAGCAGCCTTCGACAATCCCGTGTAGAATATAAATCATGGTTGGAACCCCCCTATTTTGACGATCAATGCTGTTGATTGGTGACATATGGTTGGACCCCCCCCCCCCCCCCCCCCCTTTTTAAAAATGGTTGGATCCGTCCCTGGTGTTGTAGTTACATATTCAAACTGGCAATGCCATGACAAAACACGAAAAACGACCAAAAGACAAAAAACAGTATACAATACAAGTATACAAATCAAAACAAATAGAAAACTGAATACTGAGGAATATGAACCCCACCAAAAACCGGGAGTGATCTCAGGTGCTTCTATGAAATAAGTTGATAAGCTATATCAAGTGATTAGGCATCACGTATTGTTATATTGATGGTAACTGACTCTTATCTAACCACAAGACACTAACATCACCAAATTCGTAAACCGTCGGTCACGTAACTTTTCTAACCATGAAACTTGACCGAGTGTTCAATTTTAAAATTGAATTGAAACACGTTTATTTTAAGACATAGGATAAACAAGACTGTTACGGGTATAAACAATTCAGACATTGAAAACGTAAAAAGAACAAAGGACAACACTTCAATCTAAAGCAAGAGCAAAACAAACCTCTTTTAACCAAAACTAAGGGTGATCGCATGTGCTCCGGAAGGGTAAGCAGATCGTGTAAGTACAAACTCAGTGATTAGTCTAAATCGATGATGTCACATTCGAGTATAAAAAAAAACGGGATTGTGTTTACGACAATTGGAATGTATCCGTAGTATTCTGTAAAACAGATATTCCATAACGGTAAACCAACTCGTGATGGCAATAATAAAATTTTCGAAGGGATGTCAGCTTCACCATGCACTTGGAACTTGGCTGAATACCTCCCTTGTGGGCAGCATCCTGAATCAAGAAAATCATGATAAAAAATGTAAGCTCTTCTGGAATGTTGCTACATATAAAAGTTCACAATGGGGAAGCTCAAAACATCTCTTTTGTCATAAAGTTTTGTTTTCAACCGACCCTCATTTTAAATTTCTAGATGCAAGTCAAGATATGAGGCATACTTAACTGTATTTGTTGTATCCTTTATCTCAAGTTCGATGGGATAGATGTGTTCAAAATAGTCACCACACTATGAATTATTTAGTGATAGGACATCATCTATATTTCGGAATGTAGAGTCAAAGAGGATAGTGCTCTATATAGCGGAATGTGGAATCAATAAGGATAGTGCTCTATATAGCGGAATGTGGGATCAAAGAGGATAGTGCTCTATATAGCGGAATGTGGAATCAAAGAGGATAGGTTCTTTTCATTCTTCCTAAGAAACACCTGCATGGATTCTGCTTAACATGAATAAAGGTACAAGTCGACAAGAAGAGGGACACAGTTGGTTCCCATCGAAATGTCGATTGTTTGTTGAAAAATAATTCCTCCTAACGTAACAAATATGTTGTCAATCAAGATATCAAGCATCTTGATAATGAGAGTAATTTTAGAGTATTTTTGTTTTAATCAGTTCTTTATCTTTGGTTGTAACTTGAAAGGAACATAGAACAATCTAAATTAAGAAAAACTAGATGAGTACATGTTGAAGAACAGGTGTTTCAGTTCCTCTGGGTAACGGTGTTCTGCTTAGAACAATTCATAGCGTCCTGTGTAGTCTGAGTCATATCACTGAAATCTGTCGAAGCTATGTCGTTATTGAAAAGATTGGGTGTAGTGTATTGATTCATGACGCAAAATCCCTTACACGATTTTAACAATACCAAAGCAGACGAACATTGCTTTTATTGCTTTTATTCATATAAAGAATCCAAAGCGAGGCCTTCAACACGGATTGAACACATGAACCTCAATGAAAAATCAAAACGGCCCCTATAATTGATTTAAGATTATGATTGTTTGCCAGTCCTGTAGTAAAATTTGTCCCCAAGATTTTGTTTCCTAAAGTTCATAACCATCGTTTTATTAGAAAATTTATCTGGTATACCCAGGATCGATAAATTTTCCAAGACAAATAAGTCCATAGCTTGTAAAATATATTTGCACTTATTTTCATAGAAAATCTAATTCAAAGAAATATAAAACATTTGAATGATGAAAATAATCTTTTTTCCGAGTTATCATTTCTGTACAAAAAAAACCCTTTACTGTACAATTTCAAATCCTTAATACAAAGTCATGTTGTATTACTTCAAATGTGTATAATTATTATTTAAAAAGTGATCAAAAGTAAAATATAATGGAAAAAAAAATTGTAGTTATTAACATGATAAAGTCTGTGATAGGAAAAAATTCCAAGGTGTAATTATTAAAAAAAAACACCGATATTTAAAAAAATAATGAGAGATTTATGTAACAACTTTAAAAAAAAAGATGAAACATAACAATTTTAAAATTTTCTATTTCTTATAGTACACAGAATTTTCGTAGTAAAATATAGAACAATATAAAAAAAAAGAAGATGTTGTATGATTGCCAATGAGACAACTATCCACCAGAGACCAAATGACATAGAAGTTAACAACTATAGGTCACCGTACGGCCTTCAACAATGAGCAAAAACCATACCGCATAGTCAGCTGTAAAAGGCCCCGAAATGAGAAATACATTTTTAACTATAAATATTAAGGACATGGCCATGAATACCTAGGAAAATTCACTTGTGGACATTAATTACTGACATCAGACTAAAAATACTAGTAAATTCCGTAACCATGGAGTTTTTATACTTGCAATTTGTGTTTTATTATGTACTTAGTAGTAAATACAGATAAATTGTATATCACGGTAATACGGTCAACGGCAGTGACGTGCTGTATCAGCTATCCGTGATGATATGTGATATTGAAAAGGCCATATGATATTCTCTATTTAATTATATTGATTACTTTATTTATTTTCATATTTACGAGCTGAGTTATTAAAAAACTCAATTATGAGATCAATTTCTTATACCGGGCGAAGAAGAGGAGAGGTGCACCAAACAAGAGGAGGACAATTTATACAGGGAAAAAATTCTGACTCCTAAATACATTTAACACGTGTCACTCCCCAGATTGAATGTCGCAGTGATTAAAATTATTTTTGTTGTTATACCTGTATATGCACATGTAAGCATTCAGACTAGTACCACGATCTGTACTGTTCCCTGAAGGGTGTAAGTTCCCTAGCCTATGAAGATCAAAAGGAAAACTCAATATATCAAAAGCTGTATAATTTTATAGTCGGTACTTTTCAACTTATAGTTATATGTACATGTAACATTACAAACATAAGCTTGTTAGAGCTTTTAAAACCGACATAGATACTACACATTAGTACAAATTAAACACATAAGATATTGTAGGATTAAATATTGTCCACCATGAAATTATGTCCACTGGACACTTTTTCACAGTAAATTGTGTCCACGGACATAATCAGGTCAGGAATAACCACCAATTGGTGGATTATACCTCAATTGACGTATAATCCACCAATTGACATATATTGGTATAGACCAATTGACGTATAATGCAAGTTTTTTTGTTATAAAATGCTAGTGTGAGATAGGAGCATCATTTTGCAACTTACAACCTATTTTATGACCATTATTGAGTCCTCCGAAAGTTTCAGTTCAGTGGCGGATCCAGAACTTTTCATAAGGGGGGCCCTTCTGACTGACCTAAGGGGGGCCTGCTCCAGTCATGCTTCAGTGATTCCCTATATAATCAACCAAATTTTTCCCACAAAGGGGGGGCCCGGGCCCCCCTGGATCCGCCTATGCAGTTTTGTCAAAGCCTGCTGCATCTCTTGAGAATGCATGTGTACAACAATTCTTTTGTTGAAACATCTGTACTATTGACCATGATTGACTTTTAATAATGAAAGTCAAGTATTAACAAAGAGCTTCATTCACCTGTGGAGTTGTACTCATAATCACATGACTGCAGATCTAGACAGTATTGATGTCCATTGACAGGTGATTAGTGGTAAATTTGCCAATCAAGAATTGACAAGATAACAATAGAAGAAACTGCAAATACAATTATTGATTAAATGCAATATGTTATGTCACTATACTAAACTAGGAATGTTTGACATGTTTTCATACAATAATATGGTTTTAAGAAAACAATGCACCATTTTGGTTGAATAATTTGCTTTGAAAAACAAAGAATTATACGTCAATTGGTCTATACCATTATATGTCAATTGATGGATTATACCTCAATTGAGGTATAATTCACCAATTGGTGGTTATTCCTGACCTGATAATATTATTATGAAATTTCCTCCGGACGATATTTACCTATGAAATCGTGTCAACAGATGTGAAAAAGTGTCCTTCAAAGAAAGGACAATATTTCATATGAAAAAGTGTCCTTCATAGAAAGGACAGTATTTCACGTGAAAAAGTGTCCACTCTCAATAGTGAATACCTACAAAATGTATACATAGCTTCATTTCTTGAATTATCTAAATTGAAGTTTTAAAATTAGCATGGGGCCTGTACCAGTTTTGTCTTTATTAAAACATATATGGCATGTAAACTGGAGTATTGAATTCATACAAAATGTGATCATCACCATGTGTAATTAAACATAAATTATACAATAAAACATGTACTAATACACACAAAAACAGTAATACATTTAATAGAACTTAATATGAACTATTTTATATTTGGATGCTTTTCTCCTGATAGTTCTTTGCTGGTGGATACTTTTTGTCAACATCTTTATAGATAAGATAATTGAAAATGCTAAATGGAATTCAACACCTTCCACTTTTGTTTTTTTCAAATTACAATTGGTTCTTACTGATTGTTTTGTTTTAGTAATAGAAAATTAAATACAGCTAAAACATTTCAGTGACTTTTGTATTATCTCCCTTTAAAGGACACTTTTAACTGTGAAAAAGTGTCCTATTGAAAATCAACCTTTACAGGACAGAATTTAATAGTATCTTATCATGAAATTATGTCCGATTGAATGGACACTTTTTCACAGCATCGGACACATTTAAATACACCTTTTCTATGAAAAAGTATCCGGGTGGACACTTTTTCACAGGACACTTTTATGGCTCACAATATTGCATGCACAATATAGATAAAACATATACATTTTAATCATATGTCCATAGATGGTGTGTTAACGCTCAATACAAAATCACTTTGTCTCCCTCAGGACTCGAACCCGGGAAGGCAGTGTTCTAACTGACTGAGCTAAAGAAGTACTTCCCTAGCTCAACCACTTACTGCTGGCTAAGTATCTACTATTCAAGGGAAGCAATCCTGTCACACATATCTTACACGAGTCATTTCATGCATTTTAAAACTAAGTTTCCTCCCATCAAAGTCTGCCACCTTTTGGAATCATGGTAGAGAAACAAAAACCTTACTACTTGTACAAATGTTTTCAACATTCTTTAGTCCATGGATTATAATTGTGTTTCTATCAATTAATTAAGAACAACAGTATTTGGGTGTAATTGTATGATTTAGGTATTCAGAGGTCACAAAGATTTTATTTATACTAGTTCAGGTCTACATTAATCATATGAAGTCTTGCAATGGACCTCAATTATTTCTTTAATAACCTTATATAAAGTTTTTCATATGGGTCCAAATCTTAGTAATTGGATGTGGAATCTAGGCCCAATACATGTATAACATAATGGGTAATTTATACCCCAAGCTACCCCTGGTACTTGGTTTTAAAATAGATTTTTGTAGGACAATATTACTGTCTAAATTCATAACAGAGAAGCAGGTCACTTTAAGCTTTTCCCCTTTATAAAAGGGGGACTAAGGATCTTTAATATTTAAGGGTCGAATTAGTTTCTCTAAAAGTTAACAGGATTATTAGATGTAAGACCTACATTTTTCTTCTTTTACAGTGCTTATCCAGAAGGCTTTGGCCTAATGCTATACTAATTGCTCAAAAAGTAGAATTTATTTAACACAACATTTATGACATGTGTAATTTTGTTATAAAAAAAATTTCCAGGAGCGATGGAGATCCTTTTGTTTGCTGTCATGGTTACACATTTAATGATCTGTCCATATACCAAAGTGGAAGAGAGTTTTAATGTACAAGCAATACATGATGTTTTGTATCATGGTGTAAACATCAGCCAGGTAAAATTATTACAAATAGAAATAAACATGGTAATTACGTTTAGGTGTTAAAGTATTTATAAACAAGGCAAACAGTTTTTATCACCAACATTTAACACAACAGTTGATTTTTTTTCTTTCTAAAATTAATTACCATATTTATAATTTTTCCTGTCTACCTTTCAGTACAATTTTATAATTCCATACAACTAAGCAGGATCAGTCATGTGTTTAAAATTGTGATATTATTATAAACTAGTTTGTATCCATTAGCTTGATTAGGGAGCTACCATTTGATTTTTATGGGGGGGGGGGGGGAGGGCTAGGATGAAAAATTTTGTCCTGCATTTATTTTTAGTTGTAAACTCTGTCCTGCCTTTTTATTTTTCACTCTATTCAGTCCTGCCTTTTTTTTATTTATCCTGACTTTTTTTTACATAAATTGTCATCCTGCCTTTTTTTTTGCCAAGTTGCTCATCCTGCCATTTTTTTACTCTAAACTTCTGTCCTGCCTTTTTTTTCAAGTTTCATCCTAGCCCCCCCCCCCCCCCCCCCCCCCAAAAAAAAAAAAATAGTAGCTCCCTTATTAATATCTTTCCATCCTTTGTCTAGACCATCTTTTTATAAAGGTGGAAATTATACAATATACAGTTAACAAAGGGAAGACAGATGTTACTTAAACTTAACATCTTACTCAAAACTTTCTGTTACACCTGTTGATTTTATTTTTTGTTTAGTACGATCATTTGGAGTTTCCAGGAGTGGTACCTAGAACATTTATTGGACCAATCACTATAGCTGTTACATCTTCACCCTTCATCTATTTATTAGACTGCATGCAGTTTTCCAAGCTAGCCTCACAAATCATAGGTATGTTGTACATATACAGTAACAGTCTATAATGTAGCTTTAAAAAAAAATTTACAACAAAATTTTATGATCTAATTGTCCATACAGTACCTATATACAAACATCAAGAAACGTCACTTTGATGTATTGATTGTACATTGATAATTTTCTTTGTCAAACTTTTTTAAACTTAAGTTTAAAACTGGAAGGCTAAAATACAGGAACAGACACTTAGGTTCATTTGCATTCATTACAAATATATTTTGATCTGTTATAGATACATAATTGAATTAACTTACAATATGTTTTTGGTTCAAATTTTTTTTTTTAATGATTTTTTGCCACATATACCTGATTGTGATTGATGATACCCCAATCATATTTTTGCATACTGTAACTTTATTATGCTCGTGCTAGACAGTTTTTTTTTTCTTTTCTTTTTTTTTTTAAATTTTAGTTCATTTATATGTTTCGGGGTTTAGTGTGATGTCCATTTTCACTGAACTAGTACACATTTTTGTTTAGGGGCCAGCTGAAGCCCGCCTCCGGGTGTGGGATTTTCTCGCTGTGTTGAAGACCCATTGGTGGCCTTGGGCTGTTTTCTGCTCTTTTTGGTCGGGTTGTTGTCTCTTTGACACATTCCCCATTTCCATTCTCAATTTTATAGTATATATGATGATCATAATGAATTTTTTTCTGCCTAACACTTTATTGGTTTACAGATATTTTCTAAATACTCCTTGACTGAGTCAATTTAAATTTGTTTACCAATTCAACGTTGGAATACAGATTAATAATAATAATAAAATTGAGAATGTTCATTTCGTTTGGCATCTAAAATTGCATTACTTTTTTTTTAAAGAGTATACCAGTACACATGGTTCATTATTGGTATAGCTATGTTTGCTCAAGATTTACACCAAGTTCCATACTCAAAGAGAAAAACTTAACTGAGTATAACAACAACAATAAAATTAAGAAAAAGAATACTTTTTCACAAATTCAGTTTAAAAAGTGTTCACATGCATTGATTATATATATAATTTGCACTTTGATAACGTTTTGGATGACCTTGGGAATATTTGTACTGATTAGATTGTTTATGACATTTCAGTACAGATGACCTTGGGAATATTTGTACTCAATGGTTTATTTATGACATTTCAGTACAGATGACCATGGGAATATTTGTACTCATTGGTTTGTTTATGACATTTCAGAAATGATGACCACAGGAATATTTGTACTGATTGGTTTGTTTATGACATTTCAGTAAAGATGACCACAGGAATATTCATACTCATTGGTTTGTTAGACATTTCAGTAAGGATGACCACAGGAATATTGTACTCATTGGTTTGTTTATGACATTTCAGTACAAATGACCTTGGGAATATTTGTACTCAATGGTTTGTTTATGACATTTCAGTACAGATGACGTTGGAATTTTTTGTACTGATTGGATTATTTATGACATTTCAGTAAGGATGACCTTGGGAATATTTGTACTCATTGGGTTTTTTATGACATTTCTGTACAGATGACCTTGGGAATATTTGTACTCCTTGGTTTGTTTATGACATTTCAGTACAGATGAAGTTTGAAATATTTGTACTGATAGGATTGATTATGACATTTCAGTAAGGATGACCTTGGGAATATTTGTACTCATTGGTTTTTTAATGACATTTCAGTACAGATGACATTGGGGATATTTGTACTGATTGGAGTGTGTATGACATTTCAGTACAGATGACATTGGGAATATTTGTACTGATTGGATTGTTTATGACATTCCAGTAAGGATGACCTTGGGAATATTTGTACTCAATGGTTTGTTTATGACATTTCAGTACAAATGACGTTGGAAATATTTGTACTGATTGGATTGTTTATGACATTTCAGTAAGGATGACCTTGGGAATATTTGTACTCAATGGTTTGTTTATGACATTTCAGTACAAATGACGTTGGAAATATTTGTACTGATTGGATTGTTTATGACATTTCAGTAAGGATGACCTTGGGAATATTTGTACTGATTTGATTGTTTATGACATTTCAGTACATATGACCTTGGGAATATTTGTACTGATTGGTTTGTTTATGACATTTCAGTACAGATGACCTTGGGAATATTTGTACTGATTGGATTGTTTATGACATTTCAGTAAGGATGACCTTGGGAATATTTGTACTGATTTGATTGTTTATGACATTTCAGTACATATGACCTTGGGAATATTTGTACTGATTGGTTTGTTTATGACATTTCAGTACAGATGACCTTGGGAATATTTGTACTGATTGGATTGTTTATGACATTTCAGTAAGGATGACATTGGATATATTTGTACTGATTGGATTGTTTATGACATTTCAGTTAGGATGACCTTGGGAATATTTGTACTGATTGGATTGTTTATGACATTTCAGTACAGATGACCTTGGGAATATTTGTACTCAATGGTCTATTGATGACATTTCAGTACAGATGACATTGGGAATATTTGTACTGATTGGATTGTTTATGACATTTCAGTAAGGATGACCTTGGGAATATTTGTACTCATTGATTTGTTTTTTGACATTTCAGTACAGATGACCTTGGGAATATTTGTACTCAATGGTTTATTGATGACATTTCAGTACAGATGACCTTGGGAATATTTGTACTGATTGGATTGTTTATGACATTTCAGTAAGGATGACATTGGATATATTTGTACTGATTGGATTGTTTATGACATTTCAGTTAGGATGACCTTGGGAATATTTGTACTGATTGGATTGTTTATGACATTTCAGTACAGATGACCTTGGGAATATTTGTACTCAATGGTCTATTGATGACATTTCAGTACAGATGACATTGGGAATATTTGTACTGATTGGATTGTTTATGACATTTCAGTAAGGATGACCTTGGGAATATTTGTACTCATTGATTTGTTTTTTGACATTTCAGTACAGATGACCTTGGGAATATTTGTACTCAATGGTTTATTGATGACATTTCAGTACAGATGACATTGGGAATATTTGTACTGATTGGATTGTTTATGACATTTCAGTAAGGATGAACTTGGGAATATTTGTACTCATTGGTTTGTTTATGACATTTCAGTACAAATGACCTTGGGAATATTTGTACTCAATGGTTTGTTTATGACATTTCAGTACAGATGACGTTGGAATTTTTTGTACTGATTGGATTATTTATGACATTTCAGTAAGGATGACCTTGGGAATATTTGTACTCCTTGGTTTGTTTATGACATTTCAGTACAGATGAAGTTTGAAATATTTGTACTGATAGGATTGATTATGACATTTCAGTAAGGATGACCTTGGGAATATTTGTACTCATTGGTTTTTTAATGACATTTCAGTACAGATGACATTGGGGATATTTGTACTGATTGGAGTGTGTATGACATTTCAGTACAGATGACATTGGGAATATTTGTACTGATTGGATTGTTTATGACATTCCAGTAAGGATGACCTTGGGAATATTTGTACTCAATGGTTTGTTTATGACATTTCAGTACAAATGACGTTGGAAATATTTGTACTGATTGGATTGTTTATGACATTTCAGTAAGGATGACCTTGGGAATATTTGTACTGATTTGATTGTTTATGACATTTCAGTACATATGACCTTGGGAATATTTGTCATCAATGGTCTATTGATGACATTTCAGTACAGATGACATTGGGAATATTTGTACTGATTGGATTGTTTATGACATTTCAGTAAGGATGAACTTGGGAATATTTGTACTCACTAATTTGTTTTTTGACATTTCAGTACAGATGACCTTGGGAATATTTGTACTCAATGGTTTATTGATGACATTTCAGTACAGATGACATTGGGAATATTTGTACTGATTGGATTGTTTATGACATTTCAGTAAGAATGAAGTTAGAAATATTTGTACTCATTGGTTTGTTTATGACATTTCAGTGAGGATGACCTTGGGAATATTTGTACTGATTGGATTGTTTATGACATTTCAGTACAGATGACCTTGGGAATATTTGTACTGATTGGTTTGTTCATGACATTTCAGTACAGATGACCTTGGGAATATTTGTACTGATTGGATTGTTTATGACATTTCAGTAAGGATGACATTGGAAATATTTGTACTGATTGGATTGTTTATGACATTTCAGTTAGGATGACCTTGGGAATATTTGTACTGATTGGATTGTTTATGACATTTCAGTACAGATGACCTTGGGAATATTTGTACTCAATGGTCTATTGATGACATTTCAGTACAGATGACATTGGGAATATTTGTACTGATTGGATTGTTTATGACATTTCAGTAAGGATGACCTTGGGAATATTTGTACTCGTTGATTTGGTTTTTGACATTTCAGTACAGATGACCTTGGGAATATTTGTACTCAATGGTTTATTGATGACATTTCAGTACAGATGACATTGGGAATATTTGTACTGATTGGATTGTTTATGACATTTCAGTAAGGATGAACTTGGGAATATTTGTACTCATTGGTTTGTTTATGACATTTCAGTACAAATGACCTTGGGAATATTTGTACTCATTGGATTGTTTATGACATTTCAGTACAGATGACCTTGGGAATATTTGTACTGATTGGATTGTTTATGACATTTCAGTAAGGATGACATTGGAAATATTTGTACTGATTGGATTGTTTATGACATTTCAGTTAGGATGACCTTGGGAATATTTGTACTGATTAGATTGTTTATGACATTTCAGTACAGATGACCTTGGGAATATTTGTACTCAATGGTCTATTGATGACATTTCAGTACAGATGACATTGGGAATATTTGTACTGATTGGATTGTTTATGACATTTCAGTAAGGATGACCTTGGGAATATTTGTACTCATTGATTTGTTTTTTGACATTTCAGTACAGATTACCTTGGGAATATTTGTACTCAATGGTTTATTGATGACATTTCAGTACAGATGACATTGGGAATATTTGTACTGATTGGATTGTTTATGACATTTCTGTACAGATGACCTTAGGAATAATTATAGAATAACTAATTGAAGAATTCAAATAGAGAAAAATATTCAACAAGTGACCGAACAACACATTAATTCACGAATGCGCGTGGCGCATGAGTTAATTTTCAGTGTTGTTTGGTCACGAGTTGAATATTTTTCAATATTTGAATTCTTTGATTAGTTATTCTTTTTATTACATTGGCTAATGGCTTTTTTAATGAAATTTATGTAGAAAATGTAAAGAACTCTATCTTTTTTCTACGCATTCACAATTTGTTTTGGTCCGACGTTATCGACGTCTTGACAACGTCTATTGTTGTATGACGTCAGAGAGTGAAATAACCACGTTTATTTCACATGTGAAATTATCGGTTTTTATTTGACTTGGAAATCAATGTAATTCATTGCTACCAATGTAATATTTGTACTCATTGGATTGTTTTTTGACATTTCAGTAAGAATGACCTTGGGAATATTTGTTCAGATTGGATTGTGTACATTTGGAAATGCTGTAGGAGAAAAACTTGGTACTGGTGTAAAGAAATGGTTGTTTATTATCATGATATCACAGTTTCACTTCATGTTTTATATGACTCGTCCATTACCAAATATTTTTGCTTTAGTCCTTGGTGAGTATATAAATTGTTGAAGAAAAGGAGTCATGTCTTCTTGATTTGCACAAAATAACATCATCAACAGATCAAAGACATGATGTCATAATCAAATAACATCAGGCAGGTATGTTTTCCAGCCCTGTGACAAAGTTACCTTGCTCCTGTCCAAATAACACATAGCTCCTGTCTAAATAACACATATCTCCTGTCCAAATAACACATAGCTCCTGTCTAAATAACACATAGCTCCTGTCCAAATAACACATAGCTCCTGTCTAAATAACACATAGCTCCTGTCCAAATAACACATGGCTCCTGTCCAAATAACACATAGCTCCTGTCCAAATAACACATAGCTCCTGTCCAAATAACACATAGTTCCTGTCCAAATAACACATAGCTCCTGTCCAAATAACACATAGCTCCTGTCCAAATAACACATAGCAGATTTGGTTGATATGATATATGCAAAATTGCAGATATTCTTATCGAATATTTGATAATGGTTAATGTCCATTGTTAAGGTTACTTACAACCAATCAGATTATGTTTAGAAGATAAAAATAAAAAGATGTGGTATGATTGTCAATTAGACAACTATCCACCATAGTCCAAATGATGTGGATGTAAGCAATTTAATAACATTATTTAATAAAATATTACTAATACAAAATGTAATTGAACCAAACATCTAGCACACCTGTAAAAGGTAATCTCTTATATTTGGTACATATATGTACATGAATTCCATATTTGGTATGCCATATTTGATATGTACATGCATTACATATTTAGTATGTACATGAATTCCATATTTGAAATGTACATGCATTAATACATATTTGGTATGTACATGAGTTCCATATTTGGTATGTTCATGAATTTCAAATATGGTATGTACATGATTTCCATATTTTGTATATACATGAATTCCATATTTGGTTTGAACATGAATTCCATACTTGGTATGTACATGAATTCCATATTTGGTTTGAACATGAATTTCATATTTGGTATGTACATGAATTCCATATTATATGCTAAATTAAAAGGATATTTCATTGTAAATGTGCTTGTTAGATACAGGTAATTAACTATGTTAGATGAACTGTGCTGGTATTGCTGTTCTTCATCCTGAGTGTTCACTTAGGATGACAATAGGATCAGGATAAGGATAACAAAACTTGCAAGGTGCCAGTAGAAAGTATGTTGTCCGATTTATTATGTATAACACAATGGTTATTATATGTATAGGAAGATCTTGTGGCTCCCTCAAACTGATATCCAGTTGAAGTTACACAATAGAAATAGACTTTAAGAGATATTGAAACTCTCCTCTTAAAGAACCAATTAAAACACCGGAATACAATTATATGGGATAATGGCTATTACTGATGTAAAGTTTGTTTTAATTTTGAAATATATTTTCAGTTCTGTTGGCATTAGGAGGATGGTTACGAGGTCAACATATACGATTCCTTTGGTGTTCAGGGGCAGCCATTTTGATTTTTAGAGCAGAACTGACTTTGTACCTAGGACAAATTCTCCTGATTGAACTATTTAGTAAGCGGTTATCATTAAAGAAACTGTTGACATATGGAGTAGCTGCTGCTGTCACATTAATAGGTAAAACATTTTATTACAAAATACTCATAGCAAAGTGTCATGAAATAGTTACATTTTGTCTCAATCATTGACAGTGTATTATTGGTACAGGGAAGTAATATCTGAAGTTATCTTTATTTAAAGATTTGATGACTAACCATTGGAGGCTTCACAGCCAGTCAATGTTGTTAAACACCCACATAGAAGTTATCTTTCTGAATGAAGACTGGATATTGAAAAAAGATGATTATCATTATTTTCTTAAATTTTGTTTTAATTATTATGGGATAATTTTCCATCTCAAGCTTCTCGACTGAGTGTCTCAATGGAGTAGAGTGGGAACACAATGATGTCATAAGTAAATATTATTGATATTACCTAGGAAAATAGTGATAAGCAGATTATCTATGGTCTTTCAATTAGAGAAAGTTTCTCGACAACATCTCGACTCAGGACTATTGTTTTCAGAACATTCAGGTTTTATATGACCCCTTCTGTAGATCTCCTGTAGGCCTGTGTATTACAAAATTTTCAAAGTGCTATAATGTCAAAACAGCAAAAATACAGAATAAAAGTGATGTGCCATTTTGTATATATACAAAAGGGAAACGTTGTTAAAAGCAATACTGTTTATTGTTCCATTGCATTTAATAGAAAATGGGGATTTTGTGGCAAATAATACCAAGATTTTTGCAGAAAATCCACAGACTATTTCAGAGATTTTCTTTATAATCTTTTTTAATATAGATGACACTTGTTTGTCCATGATGTGCTAGCGCCTTTATTGTTAACAAAAAATTCTAAACAACCTTTCCACTCCAAAAAAAACTTGTGCTGAGTCACTAAAGTAGAGCACACCCTAGAAGGTGTACTTGAATAGGTCCATATTTTTACTTGTTTTAACTAATATCTTTATTTATAAACTTGTTTTAGGGAAATCATTGCTAGCACTGCATGCAATAACCCCAATCTATTAAGCACCAAATTGTCAAATATAGGAGTACAAGGGGAAAGGCTCTGGATTTTCTATAAAATTTCCATGTTTTAAGCATTGAAACAACAAAAGGGTACATTATCCTTAATCTATAATGATTGTATAGAATCACATGAAATATTTTTTTTCAAATTTACATTTCTTTTTAATGGCTGTCTTCATCTTAAAGGATTTACACAATCATACCCTTATCTATTATTAATTATGAGTTATAATAGTGAAAAGATAAATGTTTTGATTTTTTATAGGTTTAACTTTATGCATTGACAGTTATTTTTGGCAGAGGATGATATGGCCTGAAGCTGAAGTCTTCTGGTACAACACAGTTTTAAATAAAAGTTCACAATGGGGAGTATCCTTTAAAGAGAAGTTTCTTGTTTGTCATCATTATTAATTTATATGATTATATCTCAGGTTTTTTCAGATGAAAACAGGAAAACAATACCATAGGGACAATAAAAAAACTATAAGAAAGACCAATAACACCATGTCCACAAGAAGGACAAATAGACAAACAACTGTCCACTAGTGGCACCTGACATCTTGCTTATTACAAATTTAATTGCAATAATAAGTTGCACTCATTTTGTTGTAATCTTCGCAGCAACTACAAATCTAAGCTTCTTGATATTTGATACCAAGTATATATTGGTAAGCTATACAGTGTGACACATTTTCAAATCCGTCACTTGTCTTTTTCATGTTCACAGCATACACATAAAAAAGATAAGTCTTATAATTGCTAATGAGACAACTATCCACCAGAGACCAAAGGACGAGGATGTTAACTATAGGTCACCATTATTGTCTTCAACAATGAGCAAAACCCATAGTATCATGTTATAAGCTTCTAAAGGCTATGTCATGACAAAATGTGAAACAATTCAAAAGAGAAAAACAAATGGGGAAATGCATGTTCTTAAATTTATGAAAATATAAGAAGTTTTGGTTGCATTTATCTCAGACAACTACAAATCATAGTTTCTTGATATTTGGTAAGAAGTTTAATATTGCTTACCTCCTTTCTTTGTCTGCCTGAACATTGTCTGGTATATGTATTTTCTTTCATTCAAAAGGAAAAGTGGGAATACTAATTACTGTATTTGGTTTGTGTAAAATACACACTTTTTAATTTTTTAGCTCACACGTGCACTACATCTTGTCTTTTTATGAAACAAAATTATGAATAACTCTTGCAATATGTGTTCAATGTAGAATGAGGAGTATTTGTGTAAAAGGGTGGAAAAGTCAAAAGTTTTTGCACTATTTTATAAGGATAGTGGCTTTAATTTAATTTTTTTTTTATTATAATCATCTTCTTCATAGAACTTAATGGGTTAAATATGATAAATGAGCTTATGGGAAACCTATTGTTTATGGTGTGGTTTAGTTTATAGAGTTTGAAGTAGGCTAAGTTTTATGTTAGAAGCATATAAAGTTAAAAGACTCAATATAAATATAATTTATTGATATGTTCTAATATTTTTTTGTTGCGTTGAAGGGGGTTGGGTGGACAATCATCAGAACCTCTTTCCAAGTTGAAATTAGCTTTTTAATTTCTTTGGGTTCCACTGAGGAGCAAATAAAAACACATCTTTATTGTTCAGTGTGACCCATACTAACATGTTAGTTATCTAGTTAGGTCTATCTTATGTACATAACGTTACAGATAACTTTCCTTAATATAATTAGACATTACCATTTTTATGGTATTTTTACTCTGCCATTCCAAGATGTCTTCTCCTGAGTCTGTTCCTAGTGCCTTTAGGGTTGATTCTGACACCACAGACACGAATAATGATTTATCCAGCATTGCTATTTGTGCTGTTGTTCTCTATCCTGCCTCATAAAGAGCTGAGGTTTATCATCTATGTGGTACCAGTATTAAATGTGGCTGCAGCTTGTGCAATGTCTAGACTGTAAGTATATATCCAGTAGAAAGAGGTCCTCATTAACTTTGAGGTCACCAAGTCAGAAATCAAGGTCAAAGCATTTTCAAATATCTTTAAAATATTTGGTTTCTAGATTACTTTTTTCTTCAGACATCTTGTTTTTACAAAACTCACATTGATCCCAAGAGTATACAATAGGCCAATATTGATGTTGGGGTAACAGAAATCAAATGTCAAGGCCGAAGCAGCCATAAATAGACTAAATTTTAGAAAAGTACCTCTCAACATATCTTTTGAGTGAATAATTGATTGTTGCTTGCTTAACATCCAGTGGCAAATATTTCATGCATATTCAGGATGTGAACAAATATTGCTTGCTTATATCCAGTGGCAAATATTTCATGCATATTCAGGATGCGAACAAATATTGCTTGCTTATATCCAGTGGCAAATATTTCGTGCATATTCAGGATGTGAACAAATATTGCTTGCTTATATCCAGTGGCAAATATTTGATGCATATTCAAGTGGAGAACAAATTAACAATTAATTCGATAGGTTGTTTCTGCAAGGTAGGCCGACTGAGATGAAGAGAAAAAAAATGGACTGCCACTGGAAATTAGGGTATGTTGGATAGGGGCATAGTTATGCCTTGAAATAGACCACAAAGTAACCCCTCAGAGAGTTGTTGCTAGGGTTCTTTATCATACAGAAAGCTTAGCACTCTCTATATGCCAGGCATTTTTGTTCGTTTAGTGTTTCTGTTATGTTTTATTCAGTTTTGGTTATCGGATCAGGTAAATAAAAAAAAAGCTGACTTTGTTTAAATTTGTTGCTTTCAGCTGTTAAGCCTGACAGGACCATCATTTTTTATCTTTATTCTGTTCATGGGTAACACATTCCCCTAAATATTTAATCACATTCAAACTATTTTGTCACATATAATGTATTTTATTTGTTGTTTGATAGAAAATTGTATATGAACCAATATAAATATAGCCAAAAGATTCCTAGACTGGGAGAAGAACAGAAAAACCAAAATATGACAGAAAAAACACAAAGACAATCAACAAATATAAGACAAATGTTTTACTTTGGAAAAAAAAACAATGCTGCAAAAATAATTTGTCATTTTTTTGTGTCATGAACTGAGTTTTAAACAGCTGTGAATTATTTATCCTGTATAAATGTTCCTTCAATATGTCTCTTGATTTCACAGATGGAATAATAGAAATAAGTCAGCATTACAAATGTTACTAGCTACTGGTGCAGTGCTACATCTACTGGGAAATTTAATAGGAACTGGTGTGTTTCTGACTGTATCACATTACAATTATCCTGGAGGTGAAGCCATCATGCTTATACAAAAATCACAATTATCTACATCAAGTGAGTAACATAGAATAGACTATACTCTTCTGAAATGACAAGAGTTGTCAGTGTTCCTGCCTAAGGTCATGGTTCTTTCTGGCTACTTCCTAAATAACAACTGGTTTGCCATTAAGTGTGAAGAAAATGCTGTTAAATACCAACAATCAATCTCTTTTTAGCTCACCTGGCCGAAAGGCCAAGTGAGCTTTTCTCATCACTTGGCGTCCATCTTCGTCCGTTGTCCTCGTCGGCAAGACAAATACTAATTTAAAAAAAAAAAATTCCAAAGTCACTGAAGCATTTCTTAGAGGGGTCAAAATAAAATGTATGCATATTGCTTTTCCGGCTCTTCCAAAGTGAAAAAATGAAACTTTGTTGACTTGTTTATATCTATTGACGTAAGCTCCCTTTCGATTTTTATAAAATTTAGATTTTACGTTTCTGAGTTATGGGGTTTTATTCATAAAAAAAGGGGGATTTTCGGACAATAACTCAAAGGTGCTTTGAGCAGTTTTCATGAAACTTTAGTGACTGGTTAATACCTATTAAAATAACCTCCCTTTAGTTTTTTATAAATTTCTGATATGACATTGAGGAGTTGTGGAACTTTATTTGTTGAAAAAGCGACGGGCGTATTATGCGCTCATGGTGCAGCTCTTTATTTGTCATGGCATTGTCAGTTTTTCTTCGACTTATGAGTTTTGAAAGTCCCCTTGATGTCTTCCGCCTCTTTTTAATAAGATTGTGAGGAATCCACTTAGCCATCTTCCACTGAATGTGAAAGAATTAAGTTGTTCAGTGTTCATTTTTCTGATCAAATCAGTTTAAGAAGATGCTTAGAAGTACTTTGTAAGTTATTCCAACTCCGATATACATGTCATAAAATGGTAGTCCATCAAATTGCTGTTTTTTGGGTTTTACTGCAAAGCAGGAGACATATCACTGTTAACAGTCGTATTCTTCTACAAATCACAATTGTGGTGTGATCATCAGTTTGCAAAGAACTCTGCTCAAACCATTGCTAGGAATCTTCTTAAACTTGCAGCACGGTGAAAGTTTTTGCTCCTTGTTGCAGGCCTCACTGTGACTTTGACACGAAGAACATTATTAAACAGGTTGTTTCTTTGCTTTTTGTGTTTTTTGCTGTGCATGTACTGATTTTGTGTCATGGATGGATACCCTATATATCCTTTTTTTTTCTATTTTCCAATATACTTTATCATGTGATATTAATTTCTTTCTTCTTTTTCAGATGTTAATTTACATATAGATGTAAAGAATGCCCAGACTGGCATCAGTAGATTTACACAAATTCTTCCCCATTGGAAGTAAGTACATGTTTCTTAATGGAAGGTAGTGGATATTAACTTAATAAGATTTCAGTTGCATGTCAGAACCTTTCTGTACAAAACCATTCACAATGGCTTTGATGTGATGATATTTTTAAATTCCAAGTTGTTAGGGGACGACCATTTGATTTTCTGGGGGGCCAGGAGGATTTGTTTTGGATGGGTTATTTATTTTTTTGGACCAAAAGGACAGATTATTTATTTTCTGCACTGTTGAAGTATGATTTTTCATTTTCATTAAAACAAGGGACTGATTATCTATTTCCACAATTATATTTATAATATTTGAAAACATGCAATTTTTAAATTAATTTTTTTATTCTTAAAAAATAACACAGTCAATTAAGTCAATCAGAATTAATCATCATCCTCTGGAAGTTAATATTCTGAATTGCAAACTGCATATATTGCATACGTACAAGGATTTAAAGCTGGGCTGTAACTAGCCTCTTTTAAAAGTTGTCAAACATTTTCGACGAGCGGAGTGAGGCGAAAAAAAATCAATGAAGAGTCTGGGGTTCGCTGAAGGCCCCAAGAAGCTATAGAAAAAATGGCGCAAAATCATGCATTATGCGCTTTTCCCAGACCCTTTCTTAATCTGAAACGCAAGTTCTGTTTTAATTTTTTTGACAATATTCTGGTCTCAAAGCAAAATATATAGATTCAGTGTAAGACTTTTAGTTTTTAGGGACAACATCAAAAGACCAATATGTAGGACAAAGCAAAAAATGTTTCAGTTTGCAGAAAAACCTTTTATACCTGTCAATTATGTTTTTTTTCAAATTAAGTTAAGAGGGGGCTGATTATCATTGATATAACTATGTCAAGTCAGTTTTTATAACACATTTCAATTACAACTTGATGTACTTCATAACTGGGATACAATTTAAAGTAGTTTGTAATAGACAAAAGGTCCTTAAATATAATAAAACTCAAGTTTAAAACATAATTACTAAATTACAAATAGAATGCAACACTTAAAGAGAATAGTCATAAAGAAGGGCAATCAATGAACAAAAGACAAACCCGGGAACAGTTAAAACACAAAACGACAAACATTATAGACAATCAACACTGAAAAATAAAAATAAATGAGAAACATGGATCTCAAAAAACAGGGGCTACGTCAGAAGGTGAACAGAACTTGCTTCTTGCAAGACACTTGCCATGAAAACAATTTGATATGAAGACAAGCTTTTGTTTTGAAATTTCCAACATGAGGCATTTGCCTCAATGTAGTTACAGCCCTGTAATAAAAGTGAGGTAAATGTTCACGAGACAATATACCTCAAGTGAAATGAAACCCATTTTCAAACATTTCAAATACATTATTATTTATATTATTAAAAGATTTGGGAAGTTTTTCCAGAAAAAAATATGAAAAAAGACGAATTTTGGAAGAATCTGGTGCCATCTCATACTTCAGAATAGCATTTTATAAAATTTACCACAGAACAAATCATTCATTTTTGTTATTATCAAGGCTGAGTTATTTATTTTCAAAATCCTCCTGCCCCCCCCCCCCCCCCCAGAATATCAAATGGTCGTCCCCTTAAATCCTTCCAACATCTTTATCACATTTATCTATTGTACAAAGTTAGTAATCTCATATTGACTTATTTTTTAAAGTCGGTTCTGTTTTTCAGATACAGTAAGGAAGAAGATTTACCAGCTAATGGAGAGAAAATGAAGTCCTTCACTCACTTACTGATAGGAAATCAGACAGTTTTACCATACTATAAACAATCACACAAAATCATTCATACAGTGGAGGCATTCCATAAAATACAGCCTCAACGTAACCTAAAACACCCAATACAGATAAAGCTACATCCTGAAATATGGATTTTAGAAAAAAATAAAACATAAAACATTTTGATTTATATTTAGATTGTATCACCCATTGATTGATTGTTACTGCGACTTTCAGCACACTTGGCTATGACATGTGAACCAGTTGACTTTCAGCACACTTGGCTATGACATGTGAACTAGTTGACTTTCAGCACACTTGGCTATGACATGTGAACCAGTTGACTTTCAGCACACTTGGCTATGGCATGTGAACCAGTTGACTTTCAGCACACTTGGCTATGACATGTGAACCAGTTGACTTTCAGCACACTTGGCTATGACATGTGAACTAGTTGACTTTCAGCACACTTGGCTATGACATGTGAACCAGTTGATTTTCAGCACACTTGGCTATGACATGTGAATGAACCAGTTGACTTTCAGCACACTTGGCTATGACATGTGAACCAGTTGACTTTCAGCACACTTGGCTATGACATGTGAACCAGTTGACTTTCAGCACACTTGGCTATGACATGTGAACCAGTTGACTTTCAGCACACTTGGCTATGACATGTGAATGAACCAGTTGACTTTCAGCACACTTGGCTATGACATGTGAACCAGTTGACTTTCAGCACACTTGGCTATGACATGTGAACCAGTTTTTATTGGTGGAGGAAACAGGAGTGCCTGGAGAGATCCCCTGACCTTCGGCCGGAAAACTGGAACTCCTTGTCAAATAAGATTGTAGACGAACGTACTGTTCCATGAGCCAGGTTGTAACTCACAATTTAACTGTTGACAGGCTAGTGATTACTGTAGATGAACTTCCTAGACCACTATGCCACCAAGGTCCTGAATCATCTATTAATTCTGTTGGCCCTTTCAAGGTAAAGTTTAACTTTAACAAATTTTTTGTAAAGGCTATCACTATTTGGAATCATCAATTTGATCATCTCCCTCTTTTTGTCTTCTCAGATATTAGAATACCAGGATCATCTAACTTCTATGTATGTGCAAATAATATGTTGGTCACCAACTTTTAAAATGTTACCAATACTGTTCAAATTCAGCCCCTCAAAACCTAATTTGGCATATATATATGAAACAGTCCACTCCATAATAAACATGTGTTCTAAGTTTCATGTTGATGTAACCATAAACTACCTTAAACCAAAATTTTAACCTGATACAGTCATGAGGATGTTTAACCTGATACAGCCTGGAGGATGTTTAACCTGATACAGCCTGGAGGATGTTTAACCTGATACAGCCTGGAGGATGTTTAACCTGATACAGCCTGGAGGATGGACAGATGCACAAACTTGGAAAACATGATACCCCTCTACAAGGCTTTGCCTTTCAGTCACAGAATTGCTTTCGCCAAATATAGATGTAGTGTAGCCCCACTGAGGATTGTAACTGGGGGATATGAAAATACATGTATAGTTTGAGAAAATTAGAGTTTTATTAGGGGACAACCATTTGATATTCTGGGGGGGGGCCAGGAGGATTTTGAAAATAAATAACTCAGCCTTGATAATCACAAAAATAAATGGTTTGTTCTGTGGTAGTTTGAAAATAAATTACCTGACTTGCAATGTATTGAAAATAAATAACTCAGCAGGTCTAATCGAAAGTATGGGATGGCACCAGATTCTTCATAAATTCATCTTTTTTCCAAAAAAAAAAACGGGAAACACTTCCCATATCTTTTAATAATAAAAGTATAAATATTATTTAGATATACTTGAAATGTCAGAAAATTGGTTTCATTTAACTTGAGGTTAATTGTCTCAGGAACACTTACCTCACTTTTATTAAATCAAGGCCGTAACTACATTGAGACAAATGCCTCATGTAGGAAATTTCAAAACCAAACGCTTGTCTCCATATCAAATTGTGTTCACTGTGAGTGCCTTGCAAGAAGCAAGTTCTGTTCTCCCTCAGACATAGCCCCTGATTTTTCGGGATCAATGTTTCTTATTTATTTGTCTTTTGTTCATTGATTGCCCTTCTGTATTCTGTTAGTGTTGCATTCATTTTGTAATTTAGTAATTTTATTATTAACTTGATCATGAGATTAAAACAAGAGTGCACACGCTGAAATGTCTCGCCTTCTTTACTAATCATTGATATTATGTTGATAGTCCTAAATATAAAGCTTTATTACAACTGTCACATAAACTTAACATTAACCAAGTAAACTAAACATTGACCAATGAACCATGAAAATGAGGTCAAGGTCAGATGAACCATGCTAGGCAGGCATGTACAGCTAACAATTCTTCCATACAACAAATATAGTTGACCTATTGCTTATAGTTTAAGAAAAACAGACGAAAACACAAAAACTTAACACTGAGCAATGAACCTTGAAAATGAGGTCAAGGTCAAATAAAACCTGCGTGACTGACATATAGATCATAAAATATTTCCATACACCAAATATAGTTGAACTATTGCATATAGTATTAGAAAAAAAGACCAAAACTCAAAAACTTAACTTTGACCACTGAACCATGAAAATGAGGTCAAGGTAAGATGACACCTGCCAGCTAGACATGTACACCTTACAATCATTCCATACACCAAATATAGCTGACCTATTGCATGCAGTATTAGAAAAAAAGACCAAAACTCAAAAACTTAACTTTGACCACTGAACCATGAAAATGAGGTCAAGGTCAGATGACACCTGCCAGCTAGACATGTACACCTTACAATCATTCCATACACCAAATATAGTAGACCTATTGCATACAGTATAAGAAAAACAGACCAAAACACAAAAACTTAACTATAACCACTGAACCATGAAAATGAGGTCAAGGTCAGATGACACCTGCCAGTTGGACATGTACACCTTACAGTCCTTCCATACACCGAATATACTAGACCTATTGCTTATAGTATCTGAGATATGGACTTGACCACGAAAACTTAACCTTGTTCACTGATCCATGAAATGAGGTCGAGGTCAAGTGAAAACTGTCTGACGGGCATGAGGACCTTGCAAGGTACGCACATACCAAATATAGTTATCCTATTACTTATAATAAGAGAGAATTTAACATTACAAAAAATCTGAACTTTTTTTTCAAGTAGTCACTGAACCATGAAAATGAGGTCAAGGACATTGGACATGTGACTGACGGAAACTTCGTAACATGAGGCATCCATATACAAAGTATGAAGCATCCAGGTCTTCCATCTTCTAAAATATAAAGCTTTTAAGAAGTTAGCTAACGCCGCCGCCGCCGCCGTCGCCGCCGGATCGCTATCCCTATGTCGAGCTTTCTGCGACAAAAGTCGCAGGCTCAACAAAAACACAGCAGCCACAGACTTTACTATGTGAATAACATTTTTGCTTTATCATGCATATTCGTCTTTTGATGTTGTTCCTAGAAACTTAAGTCTTACACTGAATCTATAACGTGATTTTGCTTTGAGACCAACATATTGTCATAAGATTATTAAAACAGAACTTGCATTTTCAGTTTAAGAAAGGGTCTGGGGAACACCCAGAAGGCATGATTTTGCATCATTTGTTCTATAGCTTCTTGGGCCTTCAGCGGTTCGAAAACCCTTCAAAAAAATTTGAACCAGTTGATTTTCAGCACACTTGGCTATGACATGTGAATGAACCAGTTGACTTTCAGCACACTTGGCTATGACATGTGAACCAGTTGACTTTCAGCACACTTGGCTATGACATGTGAACCAGTTGACTTTCAGCACACTTGGCTATGACATGTGAACCAGTTGACTTTCAGCACACTTGGCTATGACATGTGAATGAACCAGTTGACTTTCAGCACACTTGGCTATGACATGTGAACCAGTTGACTTTCAGCACACTTGGCTATGACATATGAACCAGTTTTTATTGGTGGAGGAAACAGGAGTGCCTGGAGAGATCCCCTGACCTTCGGCCGGAAAACTGGAACTCCTTGTCAAATAAGATTGTAGACGAACGTACTGTTCCATGAGCCAGGTTGTAACTCACAATTTAACTGTTGACAGGCTAGTGATTACTGTAGATGAACTTCCTAGACCACTATGCCACCAAGGTCCTGAATCATCTATTAATTCTGTTGGCCCTTTCAAGGTAAAGTTTAACTTTAACAAATTTTTTGTAAAGGCTATCACTATTTGGAATCATCAATTTGATCATCTCCCTCTTTTTGTCTTCTCAGATATTAGAATACCAGGATCATCTAACTTCTATGTATGTGCAAATAATATGTTGGTCACCAACTTTTAAAATGTTACCAATACTGTTCAAATTCAGCCCCTCAAAACCTAATTTGGCATATATATATGAAACAGTCCACTCCATAATAAACATGTGTTCTAAGTTTCATGTTGATGTAACCATAAACTACCTTAAACCAAAATTTTAACCTGATACAGTCATGAGGATGTTTAACCTGATACAGCCTGGAGGATGTTTAACCTGATACAGCCTGGAGGATGTTTAACCTGATACAGCCTGGAGGATGTTTAACCTGATACAGCCTGGAGGATGGACAGATGCACAAACTTGGAAAACATGATACCCCTCTACAAGGCTTTGCCTTTCAGTCACAGAATTGCTTTCGCCAAATATAGATGTAGTGTAGCCCCACTGAGGATTGTAACGGGGGATATGAAAATACATGTATAGTTTGAGAAAATTAGAGTTTTATTAGGGGACAACCATTTGATATTCTGGGGGGGGGGGGGGGGGGGGGCCAGGAGGATTTTGAAAATAAATAACTCAGCCTTGATAATCACAAAAATAAATGGTTTGTTCTGTGGTAGTTTGAAAATAAATTACCTGACTTGCAATGTATTGAAAATAAATAACTCAGCAGGTCTAATCGAAAGTATGAGATGGCACCAGATTCTTCATAAATTCATCTTTTTTCCAAAAAAAAAAACTGGAAACACTTCCCATATCTTTTAATAATAAAAGTATAAATATTATTTAGATATACTTGAAATGTCAGAAAATTGGTTTCATTTAACTTGAGGTTAATTGTCTCAGGAACACTTACCTCACTTTTATTAAATCAAGGCCGTAACTACATTGAGACA